ATATTTTTAGTTAATGATAAACTGAATTTACTTTCCTTGAAAAATCCATAAATATATTGTAATAACTAGCATTCGCTTTAAATCGACCAATTACTTAGCTTAAACTTGTTTCTCTTTTCGTTAAAAATATAATCAAAACTATTTGAATTTTGAGGGAAAATGTCCCAAAATATAAATGCAGTTCTGATCTTTCTAATTTGAATTTTTCTAAGTAGTTTTAGGGATGATTCACTGTCTCCAAGTTTTCTGTTTCTGTTTCGGCTGCCTTTTGCATATTTTCTCACAGTTCCCGCGATGCAGAAAAAAAAAATGTGAAAATTTCTTGCAAATACCTGCACATACACAATTTCTGCCCGTTGTTGCTGTTGTTGTTGCTGCCTTTGCAAAATTTGTATCGAGTTACTTTGGTTGCTGCTCTCATTTGCATGCTGCGATATTGTTGTTGCTGCTCCGGTTGCTGTTTTTCCACTGATTATTTCTTGTGTCGCTGCCGCTTGGCGTTGCTGCAACTAAATTGGCCTTAATTGGTTGCCTTTTTGTTGCCAATTTTGTTGTTAGCCCGCTTCAGTTGCAGTTGCAGTGTTTTTTTTTCGAGTCGTTGTGACCATAATATTTTTGTTGTCTCGGTCTCCTGCCTGTTGCACAGTTGTTGCTCTCTTATCGGTCGTTGCCGGCCGGCTGGAAGCACTTTAGGCCACTTTCGGCCTTAAGCCACTTGTGGCATGCAGCCGTGTGTAATTTTTTATCTGCCGTCTTGTTTCGCTGCCCTTTTTGGCCGGGTCTAATTGCTGCGGAATTGGCTTGGTCTTGGGAAAGGAAATCGGACGGGTGTGTGTGCCACTGAAATCTGTGGAAAACCAAATATCGTCTAGTGTACTAGGAAATGATTTTTATAAACTCTCATCTTAAAATTACTAACTTGGTCAACTTAAAAAAACAAAATAAGAAAACTTTAGAACTAAAATATCAAGAGCAAGTCTGCATTACTTCCTCTCACTTTTTTGAGAACGAATGTTCTTTAAATCGAGCGTTAAGTATTCTTGGTTTTGTGTTTTTAAAACTTAATAATTTTTATAAACTAAAAAAATTAGTAAGACATATTAATATTTTTAATTAAATCAAAGTTATTTATAATTAAATAATCAGAAATCAATTATTTAATTTATTTAATTTTTAGGAAAAAAATCATTTGATTAAAAGTTTTTAGATTCCTTTAATTTATAATATTAATAGCTTTCGTTGCTGAAGTTTAAGATTGCCGATTAGTTCTCACCAAGAAACTGGTAATAAAATTAAGAAGCAAGCTAAATATCACGGAAACCTTATCCCCAGAGTAGGTTACTAGTGGGTGGGGTCATTTCTGAAGACCTAAAAACTAATGTTTTTATTTATTTTTTTAATGATGTTTCGTGTGTTGGCTCTTAACATCCCGTAGCGAGAGCATTAACCGTTCGACGCGTTATATGGCTAATGTGATATTTCCCAATTTTATTTGTTTTGCCTGTCTGCTCGCGTTTTTTTCAGCTGCCTGCATTTTTAATGCGCTTGCATGGCTTATTTGATTTAATTAGCCAGGTAGCCTAGGCAGCCAGGCGGCCCGCCAGCAGCCGGTGAGCTGGGTTTTCATTATTGTTTGCAAATTGTGGGAAAAAATGCACGGATCCCCCGCCACTTCCACTTCTACTGCCGCCCCATTGCGTTTTATAGTCGCAAAAACTTTTTTGGTGGCGATTATGCAATCGAAGCTCTGGAACCAGCCAATAAATCAAAATGCCATTCTCAAGACTCCGGCGGCTGCTGCAAGTGCTACATGTAGCATGTAGCAGCAGGAACAAAAACAACAACAATGAGCTGGGGCCCAGTATTCAGAGCATGTCAATGTGGGCCTCCGGTAATGTTAGCCCAACTCCCCCTTCTGCCTTCCCCCAAGTTGCCGTCTTAAAAAGCCCACACATTTTTTAATGCACTTGGGAAAATGTGGGCAGTTTTCCGGTTAATAGATCCAAGTATATACACTAGCATTGTTGTTATAAAAAATGTATGAACTAAATTTAATTACAAGACTAGGAAGATAGAGTTAGGAATATTTTATAAAATCTTTCTTAATAACAAATGCAATTATATTTTAAATTTAGAGAATGCAATCCTATTTTCGCAAATAAAAACTTTTTTAAAACGTTAAAAAATTGTTGAAAGCAAAGTCATATTTTGTATCATTAAAACAAAACTTTTAAAACGGTTTTTTAAAAGTTTAAATTATTAGTAATGCTTTCTAAGATTATCTATATTTTGTACAAATTATATCTTTAATATAGGAATAAAATATTTTTTGCTGTGTACGACATTTACCGTTTCGGCAAGGTCTGCCGGCCAGCTGCCAGTTGGTCTCGATCTCCCAGATTCTTGCATTTTGCCACTTGCCACGAATCCGATTCCGAATCCGAATCTGAGTCCGAGAATATGCCACATGGGCCACCCATTGCACAATCGCAGAATGTGCGGCTGTCCTGCTGTCCCCGCTGTCAATAAGCCAACAAAAAGCTAGTTTATTGAGTCGTCGTCTGCACTCAGTTAACCCAACCTGTCATGCCCACGCGTCGAGGCCAAGTGGCCTGGGCCAAAAAGCATCCGAGTGGCCACTCATTCGGTTTGTCATACTATACCCATGCCTATTTAATGTACAGCATATGGGCACTCGAAAGGAAAGTGTTCTTCTAGTTTCCAAAGGTGTGAGATACGAAAAGGGTATCAGTTAACGCCCTTAAGTTCCTAAAGCTTCGCATATTCACAATGAAATCACTATATAAGGAAATTCTTAAATTTTGCTGAGCTAAATAAAAATGTAATAATAAATATTTTATCATTTTATGTAGATAAAGGGAACTTCAAGGTAGATTGATGTTAAATTAAGCCAAAAAAGGCATTGCTTTTTGCTAATTGCTTTTGGCCTTGCTAAGAAATAAGAAATAATTGGTAGGCTTTTTCTGCTAAAAGGTTATTTTTTATAAGTCCATAAAACGAGCTTATTGCAGTTGCAATTGTCTTGTGTTAAATAGTTCATTAAAAACCTTCATTAAATAAGTAGCAGTAATTTATATACTGTTAAAATGTAATACCAAGATTTTTAGACTATAAAAAGAATTAGTGGGAAAAATGTTACAAAGATGTTTTTATTACATTGGTTTAAAATTTTTTTTAAAGAAATGCAAATATAGTTCTTGATAAATTCAAAATATGAAAATATATTCTTTTAATTAAAATCATACATTAAACCCCATTATAGATGTTTTTAATTAGTATTGGTTTTTAAGACACTTTTAAGTACCAACGTTTTAAAATAAATAAAATTGGTGATAAAGATTTCTGAAAAAAACATCTAGAGGTCTAAGAACCTTCTCCGCCATTGTGGTTTTTAACGGCGTTTCTCATGGGCGTTTCTCATGGGTAATTCAATGGTCGAGCACTAACGTTTTCCTGTCATTTCCTGCCGACGTTTTGCCAGCGTTTTGCTGATTAAGTTTCAATTTGAATTCGAGTTCTGGGCGGGAAATGAGTGGGGTCAGTGCAACAACCCATGGGCCGATGACCCAATTGCCGCCAGTCCAAGTCCACTTGCCACGGATTCAGATGCGCTTTTAGAAGCCTCCTACATGGAAGTTTCCTACTCGAGTTGCACCTGATCGACTGACCCACAAAAAGCCCTCGGCGGCGGGACAAAAGCGGCGGCAGGGGGGAAATGGACTTAAATATAGCTATCAGGCTTTAAGTGGCAGCCACTGCCGCCTGGGCAAATTTATTGAATCTCATTGAGCAGCTTTCTATACTTTCTCGCTCGCACTTGGCAGGGGAAAAATCGCCAGCGATTTGTTTATTGCGGAAGAAGTGAAAAGTGCGCGGCCAAATCGCCCCGTGTCTTTATGCTCGTGCAAATTAATTTGTCTTAGACATTTCAAAGGCATCTCACGGATGCGTATCTTGCGGTTTTTGTGGTCACTGGGATATTTGTTTATTTACATTTCGTACGAATACCGTACTACCGATGATATACCATCGATATGTGTGGCTTTATCCATAGATATCCGATGATGAGTTGGCTGAAAAGAGCGCTGCTTCATCTCTTTTTCCTTTGGCCACAAAGTGCGTTTTAATTAACCCACGAGTCGACCTGGCCAATTACTTTCTGCCTGCTTCTGCACTTTGTTTTTTTTTCGATTTGTATTTTTTTCTGGCGAGGATTCGCAATGACTTTCACTTTCTCGCCCCGAACGGCAGCGTGGGGTTAAGGGGGAAAAGCGGGAGAAGGCGGCGGCGGAGGGTTAATGAGGATGCCACATTGCTGCACATTTCGTGCCGCTTCATTGTGATTATCTTGTTGAAGAGATTCAAACTGTGGCAGCCGCTTTCATGTAATTTATTTGTTTATTGTCTTGGCCAGGGCCAGGCCAGAAACACACACTCCCTATACAGGCCGCTTTATATTATCCACCATTCATCCACTAGCCACCCACCCCGGGAGGCAACCAACCTAAGCCTTCGAATTCGGTTGGGCGGACTGCGTGTCTCGTGAGTCCACATTTAGGGATTCGTTGATAATTAAATAGGTTTTATTTAAAATCTTCAAAATATTTAATTTATTCAATCGAAAAAAGTAATATCATCACGTAATCTCTATGATTATGTACTTATTTAACATATTTTAAAATTTAAAATTATATTTTTATGGGTATTGTTCATAGATCCTATAAAAGCACTCTTTGCTAACATTTAAATGATAGATAATAAAAATAAATTATAACCAATACTTATTTGGAGAAACCTTCATTCATTTAAAAGAAGACATCTGAAAGAATGAAGAGTTTATGAAGCTAAAAAGCCCCACGTTGGGCGCCAATTCTGTTATGTGGGCGTATTCCATAAGAAATTATTGACTTATTTGTAACCCGCTAAGCATCTCTTGATACCTACTTATGCATGTTAATATGCATGTTAAAAATATCTCAAAAAAATAGATTACGTTTTTATTTCTTAGTTTAATTGCTATTTCATTATAAAGCTGGTGAAGATCTCGTGATCACGAGGCCATCTCCAGAAAAGTACAGGAGTCCGCAGCTGTTACACTTGCACTTGCCATTTGCTACTTGTACCGCTGCTCTTGTTGTTGCTGGTTGCTTGTTGTTTACCTATCGTCTCGTTTTGTGTGGAATCGCTCACAGTTGTCCGTCCAACGGAGCGTCCGTCCGCCAGTCTGCCAGTCCGCCCATCAGTTGAGTTGGTCCGCTTGTCGCTCCGTTAGCTCGTTAGAGCTGAAGATGAACAAGTTTTTCCTCAACTGAACTGGCACTCTAGACTTATTTCTTCATGAAGCCAGGAAGCCAGCGATTTCTCATCTTTGTTGTTGCTTGCCGCCTAATGTTGCTCTTGTTGTTCATGTTGCTATTGCTATTGCTGCTGTGGATGTTGATGTTGCAGTTAGTGCTTTCCCTTGATGCAGAGCCACCCGCAACCTCTGGCCCCTGGAAAACCGCACACCACTCATGCGAGGCGGCTTAATTAGCTCCATGGGCTTTTCAGGCTTTTCTGGCTCTTCTGGCATCTGTACTTTGGCATCTTCGGATCGGGATTGTTTCGCTTTCGTTCTCACATCCCGCCGCTAATGTTATTTTTCCGAGCGACTGAGCTTTTCCAACTGGCGCTGTTTTTCGCACACCAATTTTTCACTTGATCAAAAGAAAGTTCCTAGCGATTGGGTCCTCAAATTTGCGCTCAGCACGAGAGGGAATGAGAAAAAAGAAAAAAGCGAGACAGAGTGAAAGAGTTAAGTGCATTTCCTGGAAATAACGTTTCCTCTGCTGCAGCCAGCAGAAAAGCCAGTTCGGTTTTCCTCACTTTTCCGCACTTCGGCGGCTTTCAACTTGTTTTGGGTTTCGGTAACTGTGGATTTGATTCAATTGGTGGTTCTAACCCAAAGTCAAGCTCAATGACTCTTCGCTTTTCGTATATGGCTTTTGTTTTATAATTATATGGCGAGCAGAATTAGTTCTAGTTCTTAACTTAGAGATAATATATATTAAACATTTTTTCTTTATTTACAATTTTAATATAAACAGATTTCGGCATTTTGAAAAAGTCTTTTAATTTTGCGTGTTCTAAATAATATTATGTGTAAACTAAAAGTGACAGTAAATGAAAATAAAATTTGTTTTGTGGAAAGTCAAATAAAATAGTTCACAAAAGCTTAGCCGATTTAAATTTATTGCGACCATCAAAAACTAAACATTTATTTGAAGATTTTATGACTTAAAAATGTGTTATTAACATAGTAAATTCTATTTAATTAATTTATTTTCACTTAACCTCTTGACTGCATTATGAAAGTAAAAGGAAAATATAAATTTAATGATATGCTGTTATTTATCGTCGTAATAAAAGGAGCCACTGGCATCAAATTTCCTTGGACCAAAATGCATTGAAAAGTACCCGATATTCCTTTCCTTTTTAATGATTCCCATAAATTTTATTAGAAATATTAAAATACATTTTTAAACCGCAAACAACGAAAATCACATTCCCTGTGAAGCCGAAGCCATCTTCTGTTTGAATGCGTTTGTCTCTCCACTTGGCTGCATCTTTCATCTTCCACCTTCTCCGGTTGAGTCATGCGATCTGCCAGAGAAACAGTAGAACGGGCCAGAGAACTTGATCCGATGTGAAGATGGGCCTTTGCTTTTGGCCAAGAGAGTCAAGTTGAGTTACGCGGGCACTAAGTAGAGCCAAACTCGATTTCAGTTGGTTTGTTTTATTTTTCTTTTTTTTCTGCCGCAGCGGGTTTCTTCGTTTTCGTTTGTTTTCGGTGCCACATTCCCTGCTCGTTGGCCTTGTCGCTTCTCACATGATTAAGCCAGATTGCTTTCAGCTGGCAGCCGGATCGCAGTCTCCTCAACAAAGCAAATCTGCAAAGACTCTGCTCATCGGTTTCTGCAGACTGCAGTTGTTTGCCTATTTATAGCACGGCGCTTTGGACTTTGACCAGATCTTCGATCCGATGACGCAGCTTCTTTGGTTTTACAGGGGGAAAAATATTCAGAATATTAAGAAGTAATATACCTATCATTTCTGAAGGTCAAAATATTTTATTTAACTTTTTTTGCAGATTTTTATATTATTTTATTTAGTATTCTCAAAAGTTATTTAACAAAATTATATTCTTTCAAAAATCCAAAAACCAAGAAAGATGGTATAAAAATTTGTTTATGTGCAGCGATTGCTGCTACGATTTACATCATCGCCATCCAGCGGGGAATCTATGTGTACGTGGTTCCCTCGAGTGGAGTTCAAGCCCCCAGAGGTCGTAGAAATCACAGAGTCCATTGCGAAATCTTTAGCACACTCGAGATCTGCATTCTTATAGAAGGGAGGCATCAACAGACTTATTCTTCTTCTTCTGCCCCAAAGACCGTTGCGAAATGCAAATATCAACAAATGAGCAAATCGTTTCGTTATTTGTTTGACAGCAACACAAACGTTGCATCAAAGTGGGTAAACAGAGGCTGGAGGAGATGTCGATGGGGATGGAGATGGAAAATGGAAAATATAGGAGGCGATGCGATGTTACCTTGGAGGCCCCGTCGTTTGCCTGATGAGCGGTTGACCCAGTCGAGTGGCTTTGGGCCAGCAAACGCATATTCTTGGTCTCGAATTCAATTGAAGCTAATTGCTAATTGCATAATAATTCATTCATTCGGTCCTGGGCTTCCGCATTGATGGCCATCTGCTGCTGGGCGAATGCAAATCCCTCGCAGATCTTTAATTAAAGCCATCGCAAACACTTTTACGAGTGCCAAAGAAGGCGTTTGCATTATGAGCACCGCGTGTGGATTACTCATACGCCCCATCGTCCACACCATGACACGCCCCCTTCGCGAATCAATGGCAACGCCCCCCAACGCTTTCGCGGGGCTTTTCCCTGCGTCATGGCACATGAGTCGGAAAACTCGGAAAACTCCCAAGGAGGCCAACTCAAATGCCGAGATATTTATGGCCCAGCATTGATTCCAGTCATTCGATTCTTCGGCTCTTAACTGCGTTCTGTGCGAAGTTGTGCTTAATTTAACAGTTGATTGGGCGGGGAAAATGTAATTTAAAGCAACAACCCCTTAGATTAATCGTAAAAACAAATCTCTATGGGTTCGATTACCAACGCAAATAACAATTTATACAAGGAACTGGTGGAATTTTAAATTGATATGCTGTTTATAATGTTTTATTTCAAGTATACTAAAATTTTCAAAAAATGAAATTAAGAATGTAAAATCTTAAAGATTAGCTAAATATTTATTTTTAGAATGATGACAACTAAATACAATTTTTATAAACTTACAGTATTTATTTTTTCTTGTTTACAAAAAAGACCAAGAAAAAAATGAATTCCATATTTAAATGTAATCTCAGAAAGTGCATTTAATTTTCGCTTCTACAATAAGTGTAGAGGGCATTCCTTTTTTCATGGCTTGTTAATTTTCACTTTGTCTGGCTGGCGAAAAATCGAAAAACCTCTTTCAAGTTCACGGCTAGAAGCAGCGAACAACAAATACAATACAACGCCCAAGAGCGGCAATTTTTGAATTAGCCAAATTACTATTATTTGCCGCAGCACAAGAGCATACATAGAAATAGGTATAAAAACACATACTGAGCCCTGTCTGTCTGGCTTTTCGCCTTGGCTCTCAAATTTTTGGCCCTGCAAACGTGGCTGAATGATTTAATGTCCTTTTTGGCAGCCACACCCCAAAAATCTCACCCCGCCAAGCCAATGCAGTTGTTGTCTAGACTGCGGCAAACGAACTTTATTTCGGTTTTTCCCTGTTCTCCATTCTCATTTCTATATTTCTCATTTATTTCACTATTTTTCGGCGAAAAAGTGAGTTTATTCCAGGAGCTTAGGGACCTTCCCCCAATTCAATTTATAATGCCGCGACATTTTGCACTTTGCTCTGGCTTCATGTTTGCGTGACTCTGCGACTTAGCAATACGAAAATAAATAGAAAAAGGAATTAGCCAGATGATAAAAATTTTCCTTCGCTTTTATTTCAATATTAATTCAAAGCGGATTTTGGCATTACCTTGGCGGGGACCCTCTCTTTGTTTGGAAAATGCCAGTCGGAGGGGTTCAATGGAGTTCAGTTTTGATATTTGCGTGTGCCTGGCCACAAAAAGTTTCGCAAACGGTTTTTAATGCTGCACACAACGATGCGCATTGCCGATAAGGTCGCCGCTCTCCCTCTCTTTCAGAAAGGGTTTTGCATTGCATAACACCATCAATCTTTTGACCAGGCCAAAAGCAAGGAGGATAGGCTCTGCCGCAGGCCATATATCATTCACAGTGTCTGGTTGGCTTAACAACATGCCACAAACAGCCAAGCACACCACACAGCAATTAAAGCCAATGAATTGACAAGAAAACGCTGGCCCAGGCTAAAATCTAAAATCGCAAAATCCAAAACAATTGTTATCTCCCAGAGACAATTGCCGCCTTTGTCTCTTTGCAAATTTCGTTTTCGATTTCAGGGTGAGGCCGCCAGCGAAATGTTGGCCAAATTGTGGGGTACTTTTCTGCAATGATTTGCCATTATTTTTAGGCAGTTATAAATATAAATTTGCATATTACCTTAAGAAGAGGAATGAATGGAATTGTAACTGTGACTGGTTGAACGAAACAATGAATGATATGAATATATCTCTATAAACCTTACAAAGTATTTATATAATCAGTAGAAAATTTAATAAATTTTGAAAATTAGAGGTTTTAATTAGTATATAAAATTAAGACCACCTTCTTTAATCAAATTCCTAAGCCGACTTTTGCCTTAAGGCCTTAAAAAACATTTTCTCTTCCTCAATCTCGAGTTCCTCATCTTTGATTGAAGGTGAATAACTAAGAAAACAAGCAGAATTAAAATATAAATTATAAATTGTGCACAAATTGCAATTAAGGTCAAGTTTGAGTCGTCATCTGCTGCTGCTTGACCTGCTTAGATGGGAAGTCCACTCATCTCTCGGGCCCCAAATTAAATTACAAAAACGGAAACAGATTAATTTCGAGCAATTGAGCCACGTAATTAACAAAGCTGAGAAGATGACGATGCTGTAAGGTTTCGTTTTGCTGCGCCAGCAAATGATTCTCGATTCTGCAACTTCCCTTTTTCCACACAAAATCTGCAACTGAGTTGCGAGCTCATAAATTTTGCGGTTTGTTTGGGGCCTTGGCCATAACGGTATACATATAGAAGGGGTATGAGTATGAGAGTGCAACATGCTGCGATTTTGCCGGGTTTGCTGTTTTGGACTTCGGGTCTCTTATTTTTGCCAACTCAATGTTTGTGAATGAAATATTTGAATCGGCAGTGGCAAAAGGTTATAAATTCGACATGCTGTGTGGCTGAAATTCAGTGGGTAAATGCGGTAAATCATGCGGCACGAAAATTGAATTTTAATTTTACGATTATTGAATTTTAAGGTTCGGATTCTAAGGAATTTTAAAAGGCCGTTATCTTACAGATATATTTTCAATAAACATGAGATGATACATTAAACTTACGATGAACATAAATTCGCTTAATCTTAGGTATGATAGGAAGTTCTTAAAATTCTTCATTTGAATGTCATTTGACACTAATTTCTCCATCACAAAAATTAATCAAATCCGGCAGCAGAATTTCTAGTAATTAGAAATTCATATCCGTATCTAAAGTGTAAACTTCTTGCATAATTTCCATGGAAATGATAGACCAAACACAAATTCATTTTCTACTATCGCTTACACTTCTTCGCCGCTTGTTTTGCTCACTTTCGCTGGCAAGAAAAACGAGCAAAACAAACGAAATAAATAAGGCGGCAATAAAAGAGATAAAATACAAATAAAAAATGCAAAAATGCTTAGGGGGCCCCAAGTACTGGACTTCAAGTCCCCCCGTCGTTCCTCCCCCATTTAACACGACCACGCCCACGCAGCGTTTTGGCGATTTCATCAAAATGCGCATAAATTTGTGGCCTGCATTGTGGTTTTTGTATTTGTGTGTGCTTTCTGCCGAGTGAGACGTCTGTGGCGCCCACTGTCCATGTGGGTGGTCGCGGTCTTCAGCGGAAAAGTGGAGAAAAGACCATTTGCATCTTTCTCTCCGGTTCGCAAGTGTGTAGATCTTAGGACACAGAAACAAATGGGGAAATTTTTATGTTTTTGAAATATTAAGAAACAATATAAATATATTATTTAATATATAATTAGTTTCCTGCTAACAAAATATATAATTTGAAACATTTTTCTTTTAAGCGGGAGAAGAAACGACTAAACTTATATAGTTTTTTTAAATTGTCGTTTTTAATAGTTTTAAATAAAGAAAGTTTTTTTTAATTATTATTTAAACATTTAATGGTATTTTTAAGTCAACATATTGCTTAGCTTGTGAAATAACTAAAGAGCATTAAATTTAAATTATTCTTATAAAAATCTGTAGTAATTTCAAAGATTTGATCTACAAAATTTGTTTAAAAGAAAATATAAAATTCTATTTTTTCCCTGTGCATCTGTGTGTTTGGCTTCGATTTCTAAAACACGAAAATTTGCATTTAATTGGGCAAGTTTTGCTCTTGGCAAGCGGGGGATGTGGATGTGCGGTGTGTTGAGGTGCCACCAAGTGTATTCATTCTGCTTTGAAGTGACAACCCCTGACCAGATGAAAACCCCTTTTCCTTTGAGCCTGGGAAAAACGCAGGCTGATGAGATTTGGCTGACATCAATCAGCCGGCGATCTTTGCATTTGTCTGTTTTCCTTTTTCAGGGGCAGGGGGTTCGTTTGTTATTTTATCTGCGACACGATGACGTTTTCAAAAGTCCAAAAAACTAAAAAAATAGAAAAAAAAGAAGCCGATGAGTGAAAGTACATTTTCGTATGTTGCGCTGCAGTTGTTGTCATTTCATTTCATTTCTTTTGGCCGGGCCGTAATGTGTGTAAAGTTTGCAACCGTCGACAGACGACTTCTCATGGCTGTTTGTCTCTTCGGCTTTTGATTGTCTGGCGATAGCCAATTGAGATTTTCATTTGTCAGTCAAAACAGCCACGGCGAAACAAAGGCCGAAACCGAAAGACGAATAGCGAAAGACGAGACGCGTCTGTCAATGACATAGAAAGAGAGTTTAAATCTTCAAAAGCCTGAGCATGATATGTACTTGTTACCGGGCTCTGTTGTTGTTTTTGTTTTTTTTTTTAGCCATTGCACTGGGTCTGATTAGACTTTTGTCGATGTTCGAGTATCTGCTTTTCACTTTCCCTCTCGCTGGGGTCTCGTTTCTCGGTTTCTTCTGCGTCATCGAGAGATTTCCAATTCTTCAATCGTGGGGCACGTGCTCAGTTGACGTGAAGAAGAGTGTCTGCGGGAGAATTCCAAAAACTGTTGGTCAAGGGCCAGATTACGAGATCGTTTTTTGACCGGAAGTGCACTTGCTCTTGCACCATGAGCGTGCATCACACCCGC